AACAGATGATAAAGAAAGAGAAGCCATGTCAACATTGCCAACACCACAGATGGGAGAGGATGAACCATTGGCAAGGGTAACAGTTTGAGATGTGGAAGTTTCAGAGAGAGAAGAGAACACACCTGGAGTCCCGGTCATGTGATCAGAGGCTCCAGAGTCAATAATCTAGGGAGAGGTTTTAGATGACAGGCAAGCGATACCTGAGTGGGCAAGAGTAGCAGTAGTGTGCTGTGAAGTAGACTGAAGGAACCGCTCATACTCATCATGCGGTACACTCACCATCTCCCTCCCGGAAACAGATGTAGATGTGGAAGGAGTTAGGTCTGCTTGTTGATTATCACTGATGTCAACCCCACCAGCTACAAAATGATTGGCTCATGTAGAGGGAGGGCCATGGAGATCATAACAGAACTTTACCGAATGTCCTTCTCTGCCACAGTGGGTATACTTCCTTGTAGAGTTGCTTTTTCCTTTGCCATGGCCTCCCCCTGAGTCACGACCACTACCTCGGCCAAATATGGAACCTCCATGACCTCCTTGGGAGGCATGTCCTCCCCCTTTTGTACCACGTCCACCTCCTTTGGCTGTCGCAAATGCTGATTTATCAGACTGTGTGGGATTCTCTGTCTGTCCCAAAGAAATCCTACGAAGCCGTGCAAACACTTCTTCAAGTGTAGGAAGGGTAGAGCCCCCCAATATTTGGGCCCTAATACTCTGATTTCAACCCCACTAAGAACCTTGTGACATCTAGTTGTTCTCTCTGTTGTTGCTGTACCTTAACATCTGGAGTGAGAGGATGATAGACATTGAGTTCATTTCTGAGGTTCTTCATACTGGCATAGTACTCTTCTAGGGTTTTATTTCCTTGTTGCAGATCAAAGTACTCCTGATGGAGCTGATATACCCTTGTAGTATTATCTTGCCCAGAATACAACTTCTTGGCATGTTCCCATATGTCCTTAGCAGTATCTAAGAACATGAAGTTGGCACTTATTTTGTGTTTCATACTATTCCATAGCAATGTCATAATTTGAGCATCTTCCTGTTCCCAATCATCAAACCCTGGAGAGTCAGCCGGTGGTTTATCTTCTTTCACATGCTTCACTTTYCTCTTTGCCTTGAGAAAAACTTCCACTGACTTGGCCCATGGAACATAGTTCTCACCATTCAGTTTAATTGAGGTCATCTATACACCTAGATAGTCAAAGGAAACCACCACACTAGGTTTCTGATCACTACAGCCATCTCCCATTGCTGCCATGATACTCTTTCAATGCTGCCTCTAATCTGAATTCCCAGTCACCAACTAAGTGCTGCTGTCAGGAGTTTGATGTTCCAGAACCTACAACAGTCCCTAAACACAATAATAGATACACAAACCTTTGTTCTTGTTCACACCACTACTGATTTCACAAAACCACGAACCACACCGACATTATTTCAGCACTTACTAACCACATGCAAGCCGTCTTACAACTACTCAACAGAGATTGTGCATCACAAGCACCACCACACAGCCATAGCTGTCACACACGGTACAAACCTGTCTAACACTTTTAAGAGAGCACTACAAGACCAAAGAGAACTCAACTAGTGCCACTGCATTACACCTTGCACCATTTGGCCACCCACAGTAGCCCCTACACCATTCGGCCACCTGCAGCAGCCCTTTCACCATTCGGTCACTGTAAACACAGCCTGTTCTTGAAAATTTTTTCAAGAACCAGGGCAACAACCAACCTAGTTCTCTAGGTTCTGATCAGTCCTCGTAGGTTCTTGAAGATTTTTAACCCAGAAATGCCAACGGCACAAAGAGAAGAGATAACCAACTTTCTTTTGAGAGCTTCAGCCAACCATTCACTGCTGAAGTCATTTTCTTAAGAAAGGAGGTTCTGTGCACCAGAGAGAAAGAAGAGCTGAGATGTTTCAGGCCTAGGACGAACCAGTTTTCTCCATTGACAGCCCAGAAAAGAAAAGGAGAGAACTGAAGC